ATCCCTGAAAAAAAAAAAAAAAAAAAAAAATTTTTTTTTCTTAGAATATTTTATGATGCAGAGTCTAACTTTGGTTGTTGTTGTTGTTGTTTTTGTTTTTTGTTTTTTGTTTTTTTGGAGACAAAGTCTCACTTTGTAGTTCAGGCTGGTTCAGAACTCTCTATATAATCCAGGCTGGCCTCAAATTCTCAGTGATCCTCCTTCCTCAGCCTCCCTAGTGCTGGGATTATAGGCAAGTGCCACCATACCCAGCTCTGTTTTTTATTTTTTTGTACTGGGCATTGAACTCTGGACCTTGTGCTTGTGAGGCAGGTGGTGGAACCACTGAGCTAAATCCCTGGCCCCCTCTGTTGTTTTGAGACAAGGTCTTGCTATGCTGTTCAGGCTCACCTTAAACTCACTGTGTAGTCCAGGCTGGCCTTGAACTCCCAATGATCCTCCAGCCTCAGTCTTCCAACTGCTGGGATTACAGGCATGTGCTCCCATGCCCAACTAAAGTCTAACTTTTACATATTAATAAGGCTGTATCAATTTTTGGGGTTATTTTTCTACGATGTGTCTTTCTTTACAGTTTTTCTTACAACCTTTCTGTTTTACTATGTTTTAAATATTCTTTCTCTTTCTTTTTAAGAATGTATGTCTGGGCTGGGGATTTAGCTCAGTGGTGCCACTGCCTGCCTTATAAGCTCAGGGTCCTGAATTCCATCCCTGATACAAAAAAAAAAAAAAAAAAAAAAAAAAAGTTGTATGTTTGTGTTTAACTCTAGTCCACTAGTTGCTGTTGAACACCTGGACTTGCACCATCTCACATCATGGCCAGCAATGACAGGTATCTCCTGAACCCTTGAGATGTGGCAGGTCCAAATTGGGGGGTGGTCATTGTTGTGTCTAGATGTCCCCCAAAGCCTCCTATGGTCACAGGTAGGGCTTTTCAGAGTTGTCTGGATCTGCACTGTGTGAAGCTGGGATTAAGGGTGTGTGACTACTAGTCAGTCCTCTGATTGGTTTGACACAGTTCTGGGTGTGAGTTCTATATGCCCTAAGGGCAGGTAGCCTAGAAAGAGTATAAAGAGACAGAAAGAAGCTGATGGTGTTGCTTGTAGCTGGATGCCTCCTGCTTCCTGCCTTTGGCCTGCCATGAACTGTTTCTCCTCTGCCATGCCACCCTGCCCTGGAGCCAGCAGACTATGGACTGAAACCTCTACAAACTGTGAGCTAAATCAACCTCTCCTTTAATTTTGTTTGAGCAACAAGAAAAGTAACTAAAACTGGAAAGCAGGTATGCTGAAAATTCAGAACATACCAAATCCTGAAGATATGTTGAGGAAAAAGGAATGCAAAATATCTCAAGAATTTTGAATATGAAGTGTTCGTTGAAATGATATGATTTGAAAATTAGTTACCCCAGGTGCGTGGCCCATGAATTTCTATTGGAAAACTCTTGATTTACACCAGGTACATTTAATAGTAATAGTAAAAGATTTGAGATTCAGTCTACTAACTTCTGCACTTTTTGTTTTACTTGTTTAATATTTGTCTTGCCTTCATGTCAGTTGATATAGTTTTATAAAAATACATTTTATTTTCAGATTGTCACTTTGAGAATTTTACGTTCTTTTTCTCTTCTTTTAGCACTACAGTGAAAATTACAGCGTGAATTTTGACTTTTTAATTCTACTCTTAATTAGTTATTTTTTGGCAGGGGTGGAGATGGAATCCAGGGTCTCGCACTCACTATACAAATGTTCTACAGTTGCGCCACATCCCAACCCTTTAAAATATGTACTTTCTCAATTCTGAGACAGAGTTTTGCTAATGCACTGAGCAGCACCAAGCAATGTGTGGGGAGCCTGCCTCCTTGGTCCTGCAAGCGGGGGGGGGGGGCTGCCTGCTGGCGTGCTTGGCTGTGCTCCCCTGGAGGAAGATTCCCTCCTCACCACCTGCAGAGAGATTGTGGACCGGAACTTGGAATGTTGTCCCCAAAGTAGAGCAAGAAGATGGTCCAGGCCCTCCCACCTGCCTGAGCAGCAGGCACTGTGGGATGAAGCTGGGATAGCCTTACGGTGTGGAGGAGCCATGCAGAGGGAAGCTGCCCTGCTGGGCGCCGGGATGAGGAGAAGCTGGAAGCTGAGGAGAGGGAGGACCTTGGGCCAGTTCTGACGGATCTGTGTTCTGAGGAGGAAGAAGTAGGACAGGCAGCAGAGGGAGAGGGAGACTGGCCAAGCAGGGACGCAAGGAAGGGAGAGGAGGACACATGGGGACCGAGGGAGCCGGGGCTTGCTCTCTGCCTTGGCGCCAGGCCAAGAGTGACGGATGTGTGGGGGGACGGGGCGACCCTCGGGAAGGTGTCCTCTACTTTACCTGCCGCAGGGGAAACCTATCCCTGGGGTCAGAAAGGTGCGTGATTGTTGGTCCTGTTCCATCCGCGTTCTCCACCAAGGATGGCTGGAGACCTGAGTCCCAGGCTTCTCTGGCAGCTGTTAAACGGAGCGGAACCACGCCCTGCCCGGTGGGGTGTGGCCGGGGCAGGGGCTCTGGAGGTGGTGTCACCCCACTGGTAGGTTTCCTGGCTGAACCCGGAGTCCACTACAGGGCAGCAAACTAGGAAGAGGACAGACTGTTTGTGAAGGGAAAGTTGTAATCAGACTTTTTAAAGAAAGTTTCCATTTACAGGAAAAAAAAGTATTTTTCAATCGAGATAGTTACGTATTTTCCTCATCTGGGCACTGCCTTTAAGAAGAGTATTGAGTGCAAAGTTGTCATTATTAGCTACATTAATTTTTTATAATCATGAATCTCCTTGAGTGCTGGTAGATTTTAATGCCGATGTGCCCTAAATTGTGACTATCAAGACCGATAGTTTCTGATTTAGAGAAAAGGAAGAAACTTGTACCCTTGGAGAAAACACTGATGCAGAGCTGCTCAGGACAGGACCTGCAGGTGCTCAGAGGATTATCCAGTGGGTGGGAGGGATGGGGTCAGAGGTCAGTCACCTGTTCCTTAACTTAGGGCTCAGCAGACGAACCCCAGGGTGGTACAAATTAAAACAGTTTTACATTTTTTAAAGGTTATAAAAGAAACGGGAGCATCACTTGTTTGACCCCAGCCTGGGAAACTTCATGACTTAGAGAGCCCCCCTGTCTCAGAATTTAAAGGACTGGGGATATAGCTTCGTGGGAAGGCCCTGGGTTCAATCCCTAGTACTGCAGGAAAAAAGAAAGGAAAAATGCATGACAGACCACAGGTGTCCTGTAAAATGTAAAATAGTTACAATCTAGCTCTTGAAGAAAGTTTGCTGAACTGTTGTATATTACTACGAGATTAACAAGATCTTTTACCTTTGTGCAGAAGGCTTTTTTTTCTTTAAAGGCATGAGTAAAGGAGATATGTTGTCTCTTCACAGTCCTATAACCATGGTATTACAGAAATAACCATTTTTTTTTCTAAAAAGTTAACTTTATTTAAATCATTAAAAAAATTTTTTTTGAGACAGGGTTTTGCTAATATTCTCAGGCTGGCCTTGAACTTGAGATCATCCTACCTCAGCCTCCCAAGTAGTTGGGATCACAGGCATACCCTGCTGTACCTGGCTGGCATCTATTATTAATTCATACCTTTGCTTTCCTTCGGGAGCATTCAAGAATCTCTGACTGTTTTAACTCTGTTTTCTCCCCTCTGAGTTATGTGCTACTCCTGGGGTCTGTTAAAGATCTCAGGTGCTGGAGGAAGCTTTGGGAAGGGAGGACATGCTCAGAGCCTTGCCGCTGGTGATGGTTTCATGGGATCATGATGTCCCTAATTCAATGAGTGCATAGATTAAATATGTTGACTTGTCCCTGAGAAAAACTAGGGCATTTGGCACCTTGTCCCTGAAATGCCCTTTTACCTTCCCAAGACTCTTGCCAAGTCAAGGGACATTTTAAGCAGAGAGGGACCAGAGTGTCCAGATGAGCGTTATTCTGTTATTAGTCTCACTGTGCTGGGGACTGGGTGCCTTGGTGCTGTCTGTAGAAACTCCCTTTTTGCTGGAGTGCCAAGTCCGCTGCTCCCCGGGTTGCTGGTCACACAGGGAACTGAGGGAGCTCACGAGGTTGCTGTGGTGTCATTTGCTCTGTAAACCCTCCCTGTGGTAGCAGAAGATAGAACAGAGCACTGTGGAGTGCGGCAGCCTAGCCGGTTCCCCCAACTCCCCTGCACCCCCTAAACTTAGCGCTCTTTCTGGCCACTTCTCGTCTGGGCTGCTCCCTCTGGACATTGGTGTCTCCCTGTCCAGCCCACCACCCTGGGCCTCTGGCAGCTCTCCTGGACTCTATCCTATTCTGCTAGGAAGTCTCAGCTAGCTCTCTTCTTTTCTAATATCTTAGTAAACCTTACCTCTCACAAGCCATCTCTGGGTATTTACTTCTCTCAGCTACCTGTTCCACTATCCCAGCACACCTGGGCAGTGGATGAGATGTCTGTCATTCCTCAACAAGTGGCTTTGTATTATCTGTCTTTGTGAATCTGTGTCGATAGGAAATCACACAGTAAATGAGGTGAATCAGTGTTGAAAGTTTCATGGGTTCACTGGCTATCTGGGCACCACATGTTATTCAAAGCAGGCTTGGAGAGTGTGAATCACCTGTTGCAGTGAAACCATAATTTAAGTAGGACTCTAGGTATTTTCTTTTAAATGCAGCTTTCTTTTGTTGGCATCTTAGAGTCTCTGCTGACTCATCATTGGGTCTTTTCCCTTTTCCAAGAAGCTCTCCAGTGACATTTGTTTTTCACTCATTTTGGCCAGGGTTAGCTGTGGGCTTACATAAACCAGAACTGAGCCAAGTGCATGGTGAGAGAGAGAGGGGTGGATGGAAATGGTAAATGGAATAATGGTTAGGCCATCCGCGGACTAACATAAGTATAGCAGTCTGACCTCAAGCCTCCACCAGGTGCAGCTGTATGAGTGAAGCACAGCCACTCAGCACCAAAGCCTGCCACCACACACAGCCTGCCTGTCACTTCTCATCCACCGACAGGGTTCTGATAGAGCCTGCAAGCAGTGGGTTCGTTCTAGTCTCTGCACAGTCAAACCACTGTGCTCGTGTTAGTCTGTATTTGCAGCCCTTCCTCAGGGCTGGCGTCACAGGCTCAGCTCCAGCTCAGATCATCAGGTATGAGATTCTAGATCCCTCACGAGTTTAGGTCGCAGTAGGGTCCTCACTCCTGTGAGAGTCTAATGCCCTCTGATCTAAAGGAGGCAGAGTTCAGGCCATAAAGTGAGCCACGGGGAAGGGCTGGAAACACACAGGAAGTTCCACTCACTTGCCTCCCACTGGGTCTGGTTCCTGATGGGCTGTGGGCTGGTGCTGGTCTGTGCCCTGGGTTAGGGACCCCTGCCTTCATGTGTGCATCTCCAGGCTTTGAGGCCGCTGGCTCTCAGCCTCCCAGTGCCCCAGTCTCTGGCAGCTGTAGCCATCCTAACATCTCTCAGCCACTAAGCCCACAGCCCCTTCCACAGCTTTCTGCAGATCTCCCAGCAGGGCTGCTGCCTCTCTGTCAGCCACCTTCCATCTCTGGTGATGTCTGCTGGTGGCTACCATCTCTGGAACTCTTCAGGGATGGCAGCCTCTAGGGTTAGCGGCTCATTTTACTGGGATGTGCTGTGCCCATGCTACCGAAGGTAAGGACCACCTGAGCATGGCAGGGTGGTGAGCTGGAGGGAGCCCCTGCTCCTGATAGAGGGCTGTGGGCAGAGCTGCTGGGGTAGAGTCGGGCTGGGCACACGTGTGGTTGTGTTCACTTCGAGGATGTGTGGTGGGTAGGATGCAGTCGTCCGAGGTTGTCTATCTCAAGTCTGCTGTGGCCGAGGCAGACATCTCCAGGGCCGTGGTGGAGGGCCTGGGACACCTTCATTGTCATGGCAACATCTCAGTGGTACTTCCAGAGAGGGTCCTGCTTGATGACCTCTCTACTTTCCCACACAATGGTGAGGCTGCCACTTCTCAGAAATCTTTTAAAAGACATTTTCTTAGTACATGTTGGAAATGCATAGCGATCATGCTCCTCGTGTGGAGTTGGTGCGCACACATAACCTTCTTAATGCCCCCATCTCTTGGTCCCCTTCCCTTTTGCAAAAGGTCTATCTCCCTGCTTCCTGTGATCTGTCTTTTACTTAGTTTTTCCATTAGTTTATACTTTTGACTTCTCATGTAAGAGAATCATTAGATATTTAAACTTGTGTACTTGATTATTTCACTGAACATCATGGTCTCAAGGTGCACCCATGTGCTTATGCCTCACGTTTGAGGGGTCTTCAGACCGTATTGATCTCGGCCCCTTGGGGTTTAGGGATTTGGGGGCATAAGCAGCAGGCCCTGGTCCCTCCCTGACCTTTGCCCTGTCAGAAGCAGTTTCCTAGGGTGGGGAGGGTGGTGTGGCCTGGAGGTAGGGCCTGGAAGGGGCCGCTGCAGTAGTCACCCAGGGCCGGGAGGCAGGCCCTAGGCTCACAGCCACAGGCCACCCTTGAGGAAGCAGCCAGTCAGGTCATGGCCGTCATGGCTGTCAGGGAAAGGAAGGGTGAGCTTCCCTCATTTCTTTTGTCTCCTTCCCATGCCCACTTCCCTTCTGCCCCAGCCTCAGCCCCTCACAGGGTTTTCTGAAAATGCCCTGCTGTCCCTGCCTGGCTCCTCTGGAGAGCAGGCCCACCCAGTGAGGTGGCAGTATGGAGAGAAGAGAGAGATCAGGGAGGCAGAGAGGGAGAGAAAGAAGGAGAAAGGTGGGGAGGTCTGCTTCACGTGATGGAGCCCAGAAATTGTCAAGGAAGCCAGCATCTGCTCCTCTCTTCCTCCCCTAAGCTTAGCAGCTGTCCCTGAAAGTGTCTGCTGGAGGCTGGCACTGTGGCTAAGAGGCCCTAGAAAGTATACCTCCCAGGGTGTCTCCACTCTCCTTCACTCTTCCTGTCCTCACTTGCCCTGTGCTCTCCTGCTTTCGCCACAGCAGCCCTCCCCACTGCCACACCCCGTGGTATGAATAAACTGACCTGTGGAGGCCAGAGCCTGGCACACCCTGCCCTCTTAAGCGTGTGTTGAAGGAATGAGCAGGATTCTGAATGGTGACTTTCTTCTGATATTCGGCTCTGCTGAGCCTCTCTTGTGGCCCATCGCTTTCCCCTGCAGGGCCTGTATAAAGCAGACATACGATTTGGGCCGGGCATCGAGACCTACCCCGATGGCAGCCAGGACGTGGGGCTGTGGTTCCGTGAGCATCTCGTCAAACTGGCCACGAAGACCGCCTGCAGCTTCTCGGTGCTCAGCTACCCAGAGTTCTCGGCCTTCCTCACATGCTCTCAGGAGAGGATCAGCCTCTCAGATGAGGAGAGAGTGGAGTGGGGCCCACCCGAGGGCCAAGACCCCTTCTTCTATGAGTACAAGCGGTTTCTCCTGAAGGATAACCTGACATTGCCCCCAGAATTGCAGGTCTACTCCACTGACCACTGCCACCTACCCATGACAGCCTCCTTCCGGAGAGAGCTGGACGCCCAGATCTTTATGGATGACCTCCCGCCATGTGTTGACGAGGGAGAACCCTGGTTTATAAGGAATGAAACTCCTTTATTGGTCAAAATCCAGAAGCAGGCTTACAGGTTCAGGTGATCAAGCTGGTATTTCTCCTCCATCTCTTGTCCCTTGGTAGGCAGGTGTCCCCTTCAGGTGGCTTCCTGGGGTCCTTTAGTGCCAGAATGCCACTGAGGCCCAGTGGCTCTCAGCACTGTCATCAGGTAGACACGAATGTTAAGCTCTCATTCAGTGACACACAGTCCAGGAGCAGAGGGAGAGCAGGTCCCACATATTTGTGAGCGGGAAGGGCTCCTTGAGTGTGAGGGGCTGGCTGTCTGCATCCCACAACCCCACTCGTCCCCTCTTTAGGAGAGATGTGGTTGGGAGGTTGTTGGGGAGTGAGCCGCAGTAGTCCCAAAGCTGGTGTGGACCCCGGGAGGATAAACTCCAGAGTCACAGACCTGAGGGCCGATACTGGCTTTTGGGCCGTGCATTTCCTCTTCCAGAAGTCTGAGCTGGTCATGCTGAGCCTGGGGTTGTGTCCATGATTAGGTGTTCCATGGGTCAAGTCCTTGATCAGGGTCAACCCAGAGAGATGTTACTATCAGCAGAGGTAGTGGGATCTGGCCAGGAGCAAAGTAATAAATATGGGTGGGGTGTGCAGGCTTCCCAAGAACAGCGGCAAAACACCGAGATGCTCTGTGGGCCTTCGGTGATTCCATGCCACCCCAATCCACAGCACCAGGAAAATCTGCACTCACTTAAGGGAGTTTTGTTTGTTTGTTCTTTCTTTAAAATTTTTACTAGTACATGTTTGCAGTACATAATGATTACATTCATGTAGGGAGTTAGTACATGAGTGTAATGCAGCTTAATTTTAAAATATCCATTTTTTCTCCCCTCTAGCCCCTGTCCCTCCATCTCTTGGTCCCCTCTCCATAAGTTAAAATATTCAAGAAATTCTTAATTCTTTTTCTAAGCCTTGCCCTTAGATATCACTAAACTGTTTAAGAATATATATTTTATGGCCATAAATTGTTACTTTTTCATCTATCCCAGCAACCGTCTTTCCATTTATGCAGAGAACCATCATTCCATCATCCATCCATCAAATCACGCATGTATCCATAAAACCATCATTCCATTAGTCTCACCATTCATCCATTCAACTACCCACCCGTCCATCCATCGATGCAGCCATCCATCCGACAGTCCGTGTGACCATCCATCCATGAAACCATCATTCCATCCAAGCATTCATCCATTCTGCTGTTCATCTATCCATCCAACCAACATTTCATCCATTACCCATCCTTGTAACCATCATTCTAGCCATCCACACACCCATGCACCTACTCACTCATCCATGTAACCAATCATCTTTCCAGACATCCAGCTATTCACCCTGCAAACATCAGCTGAACTTTTAATTACTGACAACTGTTGGTACAGAAATTGCCATAGATCTATGGGCTCTTGATTGTGAATGGGAGTTTTGTGTACACAGGAGGCTTCAGTGTTCTTTGATGACTAGGCCATGGATCATGGAAAATCTCTATTCAAACAGGAAAGTAAATGAGCAGGGTAGGATGTGGGTGCTTGGTGCTGAGTGGTGGACCCAGGCATGTCTTAGCTTCCCACTGCTCCACAGGAATCCTACTCTGAGAGCCTGTTTCCCAACAGACACAGAGTGACCAAGATGAATCAGAGATGCATGGGGCTCATGTGCAGCTAGCACATTCCTTCTGGGACAGGCACTGGGCCCCATCATCTTTACTTCTAGGTGATGTGTCCCCTGATTGTGACTTGCTGGTATGCAGCTGCCAGGGCTCATTATGCCCAAGGAGAGTGGACTGTTGGAGCAAAGAGGGTTCCGGCTGTGTTGGGGCCTCAAGGGGTTAGGGAGGGCTCTCCCTGGACCCTTTCCCATGGAAGATGTTGGGCCGACCAGAGCCTGGTCTACCGGCACTGAGGCCTGCTGTGTTGCCAGGAACAAGAAAGCTCACACCAGTTGGAATATGGGTGCCATCTTGGAGGGAGACCGCAGTGGCTTTGCATGCATTGGGCCCAAGGAACAGTTTTCCCAGGAGATGATCTTGAAGGCGGAGGAAGGGGACCATGACTGGATTTATGGGATTCTGAAGGACAATCTGGCCTATGCTGATGTTGCCGATGCAAAGGGCTACACTGTGCTTGCTGCAGCTGCTGTAAGTCCCCATCCCAGCTGGTGAGTGCCGAGGAATGCTGAGCCATGAGGGTCCCCACTGGGGTGCATTCACAGCGGAGTTCTCCCCTCCCCTCTGCAGGAACAAAGCAGAGGTGCATGCAGGTCTAGGTGCACTTCTGCCTTTCCCTCCTGAGCATAGGCCCAGTCACCTCAGAATGACACAGAAAGTCAGACGAGAAGAGCTGGGCGTGTCTCCTCTCCATGCTTTGTTGCACTCTTGCTCCTCCAAACGTGCCCACATGAGGGGCAGCAGGAGCACCAGGCGACCCCTCAGCCCTTGCTGTCCTGAGTCTGGCCTGTCTCCCTCTAGGTGCATTGTCACAATGACGTTGTCAACCTTCTCCTGGACCACGGGGCCAATGTGAACAAGCTCACGGATGAGGGCCTCACACCACTCAACATGTGCTTCCTCCTCTATTACCCCAGCAAGTCCTTCAAGCCCAACATTGCCGAGAGGACTGTGCCCCAGGTCAGCCCCCACTGGCCACCAGCCACCCGCCCTCCTAGGTGGACCAGACTCATATAGGGTGGTGGGGAGGGGTCAGAACAGAGCCTGGGTACTGCCCAAGACATTCTGAATGGCTCTGCCCCTCACAAGCTACCAGCACAGCGCCTTGGGGCCTGAGACCTGTCCCTCCCTCGGTGTGACAGAAGGGGCTGCGTGCAGGACCCTTCCAAGGCAGGGCCCCTGAACGTGCACTTTCCAGAAGCTTGTGGACAATACTGCAGTTCATGGGGGACTGAGTGCTGGGAATGTGGCTCACAGAGCACTTGAAGGGATATGGTGGGTGCTGACCACAGCATGAGCCTGGTGCATGATTTGCCCTTTTTGAGTGGTCACATTACAGAAGAAAATCAACTGAATATAACTGTAACGATGTATTTTATTTAGTTTAAAGTATCCAAAATAAGATCCTGTCTGCTCCTAGTCAGTATTATAATAAAAAGAACACATTTGGCCCCTGGTTGCACAGGCAGTGCCGCTGATCCTGGACAGGCTGTTTCCGGAGTGGGGGCTGTGACCGGCTCGGCCTCAGGTCTGGTGGTGGCTGCATAGATGTCTCCTTGCTCTCTGAGGGCGAGAGCACTCCCTCCCAAGGCCATACCTGCCTCCTGACTGGAGCTGGGGCTGGCACCAGGGCTTGCTGAAGGCGGTTGTGAGTGAGCTTCTTTGGCTTCTTCCTGATGGTGACATGATTTTGATTCTTTTTGAAGGAAAACCTGAAGCCCCTCCTCATTCCCAAACTGTTGCCTTCATGTGTGGAGACGAACGTGGAGTCCACCTACGAGGTGGCCACACTTGCCCTGGGCAGCGGGGAGCAGAGGCTGCCATCACACACCGCGGGCAGCCAGGAGAAGGGCTCAGGCCCGGGCTCTCTGCAGTCTTCAGAATCCAGCTCGCCCTCGTGTCAGCGCGCCATCAGGAGCAGGGAGAGAGGGCCAGAGGGCTTGGCAGGAGGCCTGGACATGTCCTCCCCATGCAGTGAGGCGCACTTCGAGTCCAACCTGTGTGTGCACAACTACTCCATCGAGCTGTCGAGGGACATGCTGGAGAAGAGTGCCCAGGCCTACAGCACACTGCAGGTCCCCGCTGCCCCGGACAAGGGGACTGTGAGGAGCCTGGCGCGGTCCATGGTTGAGTAAGCTGTTGCGCGCCAGCCGTCAGGGTGGAGGGTCAGTTGGGCAGCGCTGATCATGTGGGTGTACTTTGCTGTCCTGCAGCACCCCAGTGATGTCTCCAGGGGTCTGCGGTGACACAGGGCAGGGTGCTGCTCCCACTGTCCGATAGCTGTCCCATGGTGAGGGGCTCTGCAGCCCTGCACCCTGCTCACAGGAGACCTCAGGGAGGCTGAGTGACCCACTGGAGCCCAGCAGGGACTGGCTGATGCCTGCTGTATTGTTGCTTTTCCCAGGGCGGGAACCAGGGCCCCCGGAAGGGGTGACCTGGATGTATCCAGGGAGGGCTGTGAGTGTGAAGTCCAGGTGTTCATGTGGCCAGCGGTCTTCCTGGTCAGCCCTCCACCCAGGAAGCACTGTGCGGGCGTCTTGCCTGCCATCCGTGATAGTGTCCCTCCTGCTGGGCCCCACAGACACAGATGCCGGTGGCTGACCATCAAGCTGCTTCTGCACCGAGGCGCAGACCCCAACCTGTGCTGTGTGCCCATGCGGGCCCTGTTCTTCGCTGTGAAGGCCGGGGATGTGGACGGGGTACGGCTGCTGCTGGAGAGTGGGGCCAGGACTGATATCCGGTACCCACCCCAGGTAGGTGTCTGCCTTTGGGGCCTGCTGGTGGGAAGGTGTTGGTGACTGAGGAACTTGAAGTAGGCCCAGGTACACGGGGAGCAAAGGCATCACCTCGTAGGCGGAGAGACAGGCACTGCTTAGCAAAACACTCAGCCCGGAGGTTCTGGCTTTGGCCTGGCAGGTGCAGCCAAACACCCTTAGCCGAGAAAAACTGCAGATTTCCTATTTTAAAGGGAACTTTGTGTATCTGACTTACCCTTCCTTCCGGAGACACTGCCGTGGCTCCTCCGTGCTGTCTGTTGTTCCTGCCCAGCCTGTAGACCATGGTCTCCCCAGAGGTACCGTGTTTGGAGCTAGTGCCGCCTTGTGGTGGGTGTGCCCCAAAGAGCATTCTTCTCCTGAGAAGATCGACCTGTATCTGGAGAGTGCCCGGGAAGAAGGCTCTGTGTTGCTGTGGGCTTTCTTTGCGGACTCATGGCTCTTTGGACTTTGCTTGCTCTCACCTTTCACTCTTGCACTGCCCTGGGGCAGTGGCACCTCTAGCCTGGCCGGGGTCCTTTTTGTCCCCCAGGACTAGGCTCCAGAAGCAGCTGTGTTCAGGTGCAGTGTGCCCCCCCCCACAGTGAACATTGCTCTATTGCTGCACCCATCTCCCCCAGGCATGCTCACAGCCCGTGCCTGCCTCAGTTTCCCTTTCTGTCTGTCTTTCTTTTTTTATTTAACCATGTGTCTTGGAGAACTTTTCATGCAGTGCATAGAAAATCCCTTTATATTTTTGGACTTAGTAACAATTCCGTCACCTAATCCTTCCAGGTGGGTATCTGAACTTGCCTGCATTTTTGCTGAAATAAAATTGCCATGAATAAATAAACTGAGATCTCTGTGGCACTTGGCGGTACTAGAAGAACAAGTTCTCCTTGTGGTCTCGCAGGCTGAGTCTATCTGAATTAGCTGCGGGGACTGAATTAGCTGTGTCTATTACTCAACCAGCAAGGGAGGTGTCCACTGCCCCTCATAGCCCATGCCCTCCTGTGGGTGGAAATGGCACCTCACCCTGGCTTAATTTTGTATTTTTTTTCTTTTGGTAGCAAGGTTGAGTTCATTGTTTTATCTTCACATTAGTAAACACAACTAACCTGTAAAGGGAAGAGGGTTTTACTGTCTTAATTATGTTCCTCAATTCTGAGACAAAATACCTGACACCCACAAATTAAAAGTGGAAAGGTTTGTAGAGGTTTCAGTCCATAGTTGGCTGGCTCCAAGGCAGGGTGGCATGGCAGAGGGGCATCATAGAGGGGAAACAGTCCATGGCATGGCAGGCAGAAGGCAGTGAGCAGCAGCAGTAGCAAGCCTGCCTTCCCTCTCTCCCTTATATTCCACCCAGGATATAAGCCTGTTGGTTAATGCCACCCATACCCACAGTGGGGCTTCCATTATCCACACCCAGAACTATGCTAAACACATTTAGTTATCATACACCCTTAATCTCAGTGTCACATACCCTAGATCCAGCCACCTCTGAAAAGCCCCACCAGGGAGAGTATGAGGCTTTAGGGAACATCCAGACAAACTGTAATAGTTACCTCAGCCACTCTTTGGGGGTTTCAGTCCAAGCTCTTGTTGTCTCATGGCCGCTTCTCCTGCAGTGCCTTGTTGAGGCTCTTGGAGAGCAGGCCAGTGACCTTGGTGGCAGCGGGGTGGGAGCTCCTTCCCATTTGTGTGGAATGGCCAGCGATTCCAAAGGCTTGCCAAGGGCTAACCTTGTGGACCCCTGAACTGGCAAAGTGAATATGGTGTGTCTGCAAAGGTCATGTTTGTCTGACAATGCTCCATGTGTCAGATTTCTGGCTGGCAGAGATGGAAACAGAGCTGTGTTGCCCAGACTGGCTATGCACTTACTCCATGCAATGAGAAAAACCCCTAAAAGCGAGACAAGAAGCTTAGCACCTCTCTGCCAGCCCCCTGCATGCTGGCAAGTGTGTAGTAGCTTGCAGTTCCCAACATTTCCACAGCCGATATTACCTGGGTCTGGAAATAAGGGACAGTCCTCCAGAGGCCTAGCCGATGGTCAGAGGGATGCCGTGGGCAGCAATGGGAAGGTCAGGAGCTGCATGACTGGCCATGTGGTGGCATCTGAGCCAGGGCCTGGCAGGGACCAGGAGGAGCTTTTCTTAATGGAAGGTGCAGCTCAATCTGATTCAGGCCTAGTGTTTGGCTGTGTGGCTCTGGGCACATGTGGTTTGCATGGTGTGTTGAGAACTTTCAATCCATGTGTCCTTGAATGGATATTCTTCTGCTTTTGCCCTGCAGGCCTCCTGTCCTGCTCCTTGTGGAGCTGTGCCATGGGAACCTCAGACAGGTGCTGGAGGGATGCATCTTTCCCGCAGCTCAGACCAGGCCACCATGCCCTGTGGTGCCTTCCCCTAGCTGGATTCATGAGCCCCTAGCTGGAGTCGTGAGCCCTCACCTGCCTGGCTCAGGGCTACCTACCTTACCCACCTGTGCCTCCTCTGCAGCTGGGGGCCCTGACCCCGCTCCACATTGCTGCCGCCCTTCCGGGAGAAGAGGGTGTCAGGATCACGGAGCTGCTACTCCATGCCATCACTGACGTGAACGCCAAGGCTGCTGACCAGGATGACATGTATAAACCAGGCAAGGTGTGCTGCCTGTGGCTGGCAGGAGGGAGCGTCCCATCTGGGCTGAGTGCTCTGGACCTGTGGCACCTATCCTGGGATGACTTGAGCCCAGTGCAGAGACAGTGGGCCTGGCACCAAATGCCCTAACCTTTTGAGAGTGCTTAGCTGGCATGTCTGTGGGGAACCAAGGGCAAAGGTAGCTGAAGGGACCCAGCAGCTGAAGGATCTGTGTGAACAGGCAGCTTAGCAAAGCGTGAGCGTCCTTGCTGGTGCAGGGGATCCCCATAGGACATTTTTCAGGTGACCTGATCTCACCCCTTTAGGCCACGGTTGCAGCTAGATCATTTCCAGCACATCCCCAGGGCGTGCTGCCCACTGGGTGGGGTTGCCCTGGCCAGCCTTGCAGCTGCCTTGCCAGCTTCTGAGCTGGCCTCCTGTGGCCCCTTCATCCCTGTCCTTCCCCATGGGGCTCTCTGAAGGGGTCCCTGAGCTCCAGGGTTGCCTGGGCAGTGCAGGTGATGGCCAGGACCCTGCTGCACCCTAGCATGGGTCCCTGTCATGGAGGAGACCACAAGAGATGTGCTCACTGGACACTGAGGCAGGCAGTGCCCAGGCCCAGGCTGCAGCAGGTGCCAGGTGCCATTGCTGCCAGGTGGTGCCAGGGAGGGAGCTGGGCAGGATAGCGTTTGTGCACTTGGAAACAGGCAGCCCTCGTTCTTGCCACCTGCAAGGGCAGCTCCAGGGCCTCCACCGCCGGGACTTCCTGGCCCCTCAACTTGTAAGATCCAGCTGTCACCGTCCATGAGCCATACCTGGCATCTCACACAGGGCTGAGCCCGTTTCTTCTCATGCCCACAGAGCTGTGAGCAGCCCCTTGAGCATGACAGAGTTGGGGACATGTGCCTGGGTCTGTGTGTGAGGGCTTGAGAAGAGGTCAGAGGGTGGCATCAGTGGCTTAAGAGCAGGCAGAGAGGCCAGACTCGGGAGCTTCCCATGATGTAGGAGGAAGTGCGCTGTCAGCTAGGGGCTGGCTGGCTGGTGAGAGGCCGGTCTCCGGCTTGGGGAGGCTCAAGTGAGCTCTGCTGCCCACAGCTGGACCTGCTGCCCTCAAGCCTGAAACTCAACAATGAGCCAGGCCCACCCAGCATCTACTACACAGTGCGCACACCCACAGCAGAGGAGGGCGGCAGGACGCCCCTGCATGTGGCCTGTGAGCGGGAGGACAGTCATAAGGTGAGAAGCCACTGCGGCTTCAGCCAGGCGGAGCTGGTGCCTGCTGTGCATGTCATGTCTGTGCTTGCGTGAGCTGGTGTGTGTGTACAAGAGCATGGGTATGGGGTGTTGCATGGGGGTGGTGCATGCATGCATGCATGTGTGTTTCTGTGTACATGTGTGTGCAGAAGTCATGTGAGATGCCAACTGTGAAGGCGTGGAGGCTGCATTTGTCTGGCCGTCACATCTTCACTCAGCAATGAAAAGAAAGGACAGCTTTCCTCCTGTGAGGCTGTGGGAAAGGAAGCAGGCATGGAGTCTGTGCTCTGGCTCCCGGCATCTGCCCACACAGAGGAGGCAGCTTGGTGGAGGGCTCCATGTGGCCCTGGGAGAAAAGTCCCTGCAGTGGGCAGGTGGAGGGGCCACTCCCCATGAGCACTTCTGGGGAGAATGCAGGTGGCAAAATGGGTGGTCCTGAAGGGGCAGGAGGAAGCAGAGGCTCCCCGGGGCCAGGGCTGGGCCGGGGCCAGGACCCCCATGTGGATGGTGCCTGTCAGCCCAGGTGGGCTCCTTTGCATGCTCCGGTCATCTCAAAGGCCCCTGGCCCCAGGGAAGAGCATTCCTCCATCACACCTGCCAGTGTCCGCCCTTCTGCTGAGGTGCTGCGGTCCTGACTGACCCTGGTCCTTTGGAAACAATCTCTGAGTCACTGTGCGCATTGGCGTCCTTCTTGTTTTCTGCCTGGAAGTGAGGACTGTTTGGAGGACGCCTTTCTCTACCTGAGACCCATGCGCTCCACACCTGAACAGTCCCGTGCCCTGGTGTCGGTGTGGCATTCATGCTAGCCTCCAACTGGAGTTCCTTGGGAGCAGGGCTGCTCCAACCTGGTGTGCTCTGCCTTCTCCCTCCCAGTGTGCCAGGGATGTCGTGCATCTCCTTCTCTCCCACGGGGCAAATCCCAACTTGCTGTGGAGTGGCCACTCCCCACTGTCCCTGTCCATCGCCAGTGGGAACGACCTGGTGAGTGCCTGGGCCTGTGTCGTTCCTGCCTCCACATGTCCGTCTGCCCAGCCACCCTTCCACCCACCCACACACCCGTCCCTTTATCCACCCACCTGTTCCTCTCACCCATCATTCCACCACCCATAATCCACTCACAGCCTTCTTTCATTTAAACGTTCCTTGTGAAGCACCTATGTGCAGGCAGGCACCGCTGCAGGCAGTGGGCTTTGAAGAGAGCAAAGGCTCTACTAGTAAGGATCCCCCCATTCCAGCTGGGGGTGTCAGACATAAACTAGTGTGCAACACAACTTCAGGCAGCAATAGGTGTTACAAAGATAAAAGAGCTCAATGCGGGAGGATCCACAGAAGGGGCCAGGGCCAGAGAGGATTCCTGACCACATGCAGGAGCCCCTACTAGGGCTGGACTGCACCTGGGCAGTGCCCAGAGGAAGTGTGGGAATCAGGCCCGGGGTGAGTGCCAGCTCCTCTCTAAGGGGCTGGCCACGTGACCCCCACCCAGTGCAGCCCTCAGAGGCACCAGGAGCCGCTGCTGGGGGTGGCCCCGGGGACACCTCTGTGAGGGAGGTGACAGCCCGCTGCTAAGGAGCCTGTCTGTGTCAGATTGTGAAGGAGCTCCTGTCCTATGGGGCTGACCCCAACCTGCCCCTGACCAGAGGCTTGGGCAGTGCCCTGTGTGTCATCTGCGACCTGGCCTATGAGCAGCAGAGGAGCACAGACAACAAGATCACCCTGGTGAGGTGCGGGGCAGGTGGGGCAGGGAGAGGACTGTGGGCCAAGGGACACTGACCCGACTCTGTCTCCAGTCCGGGTCTGGGGAGGCCCCCGAGGGGATGGGCACCTTGACTCCAGGTAAGTTCTGGACTCCAGCATGGGAGAAGAATTCCAGCTGCATCAGAGTGAAGCTCTGGCTCAGAGAGGGAGAGTGGAGCAAGCTCCTGGGTACCTGGGGCTCGCTGTGATGCAGGGGTTCAGACTGGGCCCGCAGAGGGATGGGCTGCCCGGAGACAGTTCTGTTGTCTGAGCTCTGCAGGCCCCTTCTGTTCTGCCTCGGACAGGCTCCTGGGTTCCCCCTGGGGTCATCGCTTCCGCTGGGGGTGAACTTCACTGGGGAGGCTTTGTGCTCTGGGCTGGGTGGAGCCTGCTTGTGTCAGTGCTGTCAGGGGTGTCTGTTGATGCCATTTGCTTTGATACAGTCAGTGCTCAACCTCTGCTGGGGCAGGGCTGTGGAAGTCACACACACCCCCACACACCCATGCACGCGCGTGCGCACAGCCCACACCACATGTGCACGCTCGCATGTATGCACTGCCTCTCTGAGCACTGGTGAGGTGTGGTGAGGCCTATGCCCTGGTCCTCGCCTTCACACCGCTGACAGCCCGAGGGACCCAGCACTGGGTGTTGTTCTGGGTGCTGTGGGACTGGGCTGCCAGGAGGGCTCCCCAGGGTGTGGGATTGTTAGGGTGAGGCTGGGGCTCTTGCTGCTCATCCCTGTGCACCCTGTTTATCTCTGACTGCCCCACACACCTGGAGCATGGCTCCCACAGACACCCTCCCGACAGCCATGCTCTTAGCTGGGTGGTGTCCTCGGGCTGCTTCTGCTGATTTTGTCTGCAGGGCTTGGATGCTGTGGGCCTTGTGATGAGGGTGACTCTTAGGTTCCCTGGGTGGCCCTGTTTGTCTGACAGGTTCTGTCCCCTCAGATTGACCGGCTCCTGAACCACGGGGCTGACATCCTGAAGCCAGTGATGCTCACTCAGGGTGACAAGGTGGCAGTGGGCACAGTCGTGGACTATGGCTACTTCAAGTTCTTCCAGGTTAGGCCTTGTCTGGAGCAGGGCCTCACGGGGAATGTGGCTTCTCTTGGGCAAAGCTAAGAGCCCTGCCATGGTGGGCATGTCCCATGGCACCTGAAGTGTCTCAGCTTGTCCTCATGGTCACTGAGGAAGGAAACAGCACAGTGTGGGCCGGGGTGAGGCTTGGCAGGAGTGGGGGGCAGCCCCGGGGCCCCATGGTGACCCTGCATGCCCTCGGGGTCACCACAGGACTGGAAGATCGCCCACTGCCCCTTCCACGTGCTGCTGCCAGCAGAGCGGGAGACGCTTCTCGCCCGGAAGAGGCTCCTGGAGTACATGGGCTTCCAGCTGCGGCTTGCTGTGCTTGCCAAGGAACGGGAATGGGACTGGAAGGCGATGTCCCAGAGCAGGAAAGGTGGGGTGCACAGGTGCTCACCGGGCATAGGCCTAGCATGCAGCCCTGCACTGTGCCCTCTCTGAGCCTCGTGCCTCTCCGCCCGCCCTCAGCACACACCAGCTCTTCCCACACCCACCCACAGGCAGACCTGTGTACACTCACTCTGCCCTCCGTCACCTGTGTGCCCACCGCTCTTGCACAGGCCACACACACCGACGCCTGACGCGCTCACTTAGCTGCCCCTCTCCACACACCACACACCCACACACTGGCACCGCATTCACCCCCAGAATGCTATCTGTGTCACACCCCTATGGGAACCCCTACCCTCCACACACCGTACCCCACGCTTCACCACTGCAGTGGAAAGGTTTCAGTGGTCTCAGCAGCATCAGCCTGTCACTTGGCTATTTCTGGCCTGGGGTGAGGCCGGCCTGCTGACCTCATGCCTGGGAAGGAGAAGGAGAGAGGGAGAAAGAGGAGAGAGAAGAGAGAGGAAGAGAAGGGGAGGGAGGGAGCGATCCCTGCCCAAGCCAAGCTGTGGTCCCTGCGAGGATCAGTCCCCGTGATTCAGAGCCTCCTGACCCAGGTGCCTTCCAGAGGCCTGGCTCTGAGCGCTGCCTCCTGCACCTAAGCTTTTGGGGGACCCTTCGGGTTTAGATCAATGTCCCTGCAAGACCTCCTGAGCTCAGGGGTCACTGGGTCATGGGGCTCAAGCTGACTGGCTGTTTGGTGGGGTCTGGTGGAAGAGGTGTCTCTGAGGGCGTGGCCTGGATGGGTTCTTCTCCCTCTCTGGCTCCTCCCTCCAGTCTGTGTGCGCTGTCCTGCCATGGAGCCAGCTGCCTGGGCTGTAATCATGAGCCAAAGTAAACCTCTCCTTCTAGACTTGTGGGTGTCACGTCTTGTGCCTGAGCAATGAAGAGGGGTCATTCCTAGTCTAAGCCATAGCAGTCCCATCACCCACACTTACCACATGTGAGACCAGTGGTGCTTCCGAGGCCACCGGCTCTCGCCTCCCCTGCAGCAGCTCTAGGCAGCCTGTCCAGGCTGGGGAGGAGGCTGCAACCCAAACCAACTTCTTCCTCCTTAATTCCACTCATGGGGATACCACTGCCCCGCCTTCACAGCCTCAGCGCTGAGTCGCCCTAGGAAATTGTGAGCTTTGACGAAGAAGCACGGCCTGTTTCTGACAGAGCACCAGGCGGGAAGAGACGCTGGATCTGCTGGAGGCATGGCTGACCCCAGCGTGGACCATGCCAGAGAGAACGAGGGAGAAAAGGCGAGCAGGGCTGGTGCCAAGGCCAGAACCCCTCACAAACACGACCAGTCGGACTTTGCCCTTGAAAATCTCTGGTTGTCTTGGATCTGCCTGAGGAGGGATGACGTCAGGGACATTTTATACATCTGTGACACAGCCCACAGCCAGCAGAGCAGAGAGAGGTCTCCCCGAACCGTCCCCCAGGCCGCCCTGGGCTGCTGGCCCTGAGGACAGCACAGGAGCATCGTGCTGGGGTGGGGGACGCCCGGCAGTATGAGGTGGGCTCTCTCCTGCCACTGTCATGTGTCACAGGAAAGTGCCAGGTGTGGCTGGCAGGGTTGGGCAGGACAGTCAGCAGGGGAACCAATGGCTGGGTCTGCGAAGAAGGGCTTGGGAAGAGCCTGTAAATGCCTTAACTAAGAGCGCCATCACTAAAGCAGTAAAGGAAAACGCGAGTGCAGTGTCACGGTGAGTAGAAGCTACCCACGGAGAAAGGAATTTGGACTTTGGGATCAGTACAGCCCCGGAATGAAGCTGTTCTCAAGGTCTCAGCTGTGTGGAAAGGAGAGTCAAACCTGGAGTCAAAGTGGTAGCAGTGGGGCTGCCTGCGGGAGACAGGAGAAAGCGCAGAGAGAGGAGCCGGGCCACAGTGGCGCCATCCGCTCAGGTGCAGCCATCCTAGAGGGACAGCAGGGAAAGGCGCAGACATGTAAAGCAGCTTCACTCCTTTGCTAGGATGTGGACCTGACCATCTCAGAGGACAAGCCAACTCCACCGGTCATTGGAGGGAGCCATGCACAGACTGATGATGAGGGGTCTGTGGGAGCCCCACTGGGGTCATCCCGAGGGGTGCGGTACACCCCAGCTCTCCTTTGGCGTCGCAGCAAGCAGATGACCACAAGCAGCCCCAGTGGAGGGGCGAAGGAGGGACAGTGAGCAGGGCCTCAAGGAAGAGGGAGCACCGAGGGGCTGTGAGCAGGGCAGGCCTGAGAGAGAGCCTGGTGCCACCTGGTGACCTTTCCTTGGGACTGCAGGGGTTCAGAACTGGGTGGGTGGCTTGGGTGGCACTGACGCTGGCCTCTCTGATGCAGCGGAGCTGAGCCCTGGCCACAGGATGAAGAAGAGAAGCTTTGGCCTGGCCAAGGCCCTGGTGGAAGAAGGACAGGAGCTGTGAGTGCCGCAGCCGGGTCCCCCAGAAGTGTGGGTGGCAGTCACCTGTGGCTTGGACAGTGCTGCTGGCCTGGCCTGGCCCTCTCTTGGATGGCCCTGCTCCCTTGTCCCTGAGTGACATGGCCTGGTGCAGGCGGCTGCTTGCTGCACAGGTTACAACCAGCCTGAGAGTCACAGATGAACTCCACCCCTGCGCAAGGGTGGCTGCCCGTCTGGGGCAGAGCAAGGTTGGAGCCCAGTGCCTGCTTCTCCGGGCATCTGCCACCCCCACCTGGGGTCTGTGCAGGGGAGTAGCCCCAAACATGCAGGGTGAGGCCTGGCCTTCTCCTGGGGATGTCCCACCCATTCGTCAAAGGAGCAGGGTGAAGGGACAGAGAGGGTGGCTGGGCTGGGCGGGCACCAGGTCCCCCCAGACCCCCACAGCTGCTTCCTGTGGTCCGGGAAGCCCCTCAGCCCACTGTGCTGCCTGCTGGCCCCTGAGGGTGTGGACATGGTCTGCAGGGCTCAGAGGCAGAGCTGACCACTCTGAGCCACACAGCTCAGGGGTGGCAGGGACTGTCCAGGACTGGGCTGGATGGGTGTGGCCTGCATGACTGCCCTTCTGCCGCAGTGCCCCCTTCTTCAAGTTCTGCTACCAGTGTGGCCGCTCCATTGGCGTCTGCCTCACACCCTGCACCCGCTGCTATGGGATCCTGACCTGCAGCAAGTACTGCAAGTCCAAGGCCTGGGCTGAGTTCCACAAGAGGGACTGCAATGAAATGATGGCTGTGGTCGGGGCCGTGCCAGGCCGGCAGAGGACAGGTACAGGCCCAAGGGGGCCTGGCAGGGGACACGGGGAGTCTTCAGACTGGTTTTCCATCTGGGCTTCGCTGTCCCTAGGCCACAGGGCTCTGGGCTTGGGCTGGTGTGGGAGTTGCCCTCAGCCTGGCTCTTGGCCCCAGAGCACGGTGGACAGGGCCTTGTAGAAGCCACCTGATCTCCTGACCCCCCTCCTGCCCTCTCTACTGGCAGTAGGCACAGTGTGGAGGCCACGCTCCCTCTTGTTGGTGGGCCTGTGCAGTGGGCTTGGCCCAAGGATGGGGAGGGAGCACGGGCAAGGGCTTCCTCAGGGCCTGCACCACCTTTGCTGGCCCTGTCCTGAGACAGCTGGCTGTGCACCTCTGATTCCTCCTCTGGGAACCGCAGGCACCAGGCACCGGTTGCCCAGGTTGGGCTGCTACAGATGCACCTGCACCCTCAGCCTGGCTGTGGGGGGCTGCAGAGAGCAAGGCTGACCCTCCTTCTCCCTGTGCTTGTCTTGTCCAGTGCCTGGCTCTGCACATACCTACAGGAGGGCAGGAGACTCTCACTGAGAAGCAGTGATGCTGGTGCCTGGGAGAGTCCGAGGCTGTGCCCGTGTCTCACTGCCCAGGGGTCACCTCTGTGCTCTGCAGTGGCTGCAGCAGGAAGTCTGGCACCCTGCGGCTGCATGTGCAACGTCTCCATCTACCATGCAATAAAGCGGCCTTGGTGTGCACCTGAAGGTCTGTGCGCTGCTGTGTCCCACCCGAGTCGAGGCCTAGCACTGGCCACACCCGCCTTGCTTGCCTCCTGCTGGCCCGGCATGGGATGTGTGTTGTGCTTCAGGGAGAGGCAGGTGCAAGGCAGCTGACGGTCATGGGAATGGGGGTTCCAGGATGCTCCCAGAGCCATACGGCCGGCCCCTCCTTTACTGTCTCAGTGCCTTTGTGGGCTCACAGCTCCTTGCAGGGTCCAGAGTGTCTTAAATGTTTCCCGTGTACCAAGTGAGTTCCTGGGCACTGGGTATGCAGAAAGTGCTGTGGTTGAGAGGGCGAGGGGCTGGGGCAGTGCCATGTAGATGGAGAGTGAGATGTCCTTTCCCAGAGAGGAGGAAGGGGGCAGTGAGGGGCCACCCCACGTGAGGGGGAATGTGGTGGGGACAGCATGTCCTCACAGAAAGATGGAGTGGGGGGTTTGCTGCCTGCCGGGAGCAGAGTAACTGGGGGTGGTGGGAGAGGGGGCTGGAGCTGGCCAGGTGAGGGCCCCTCCCCAGGCTGCCTTTTGCTGGCCAACAGTCATGGAAATGACTGTTTTACCTGATTTCTTGCCTGTCACAAGTGTGCAGGTGTGGGGGTACACTTGGGCGTGCTGAGCAGAGACCTAGACATAGACGAGGAAGAGCCTGGTGGAGGGAGGTGCCGCCCAGCTCGTGGGTGGCTTTCTGGGAATGGGGGCTCCTGATAGAGCTGAGGACCAGCCTCCTAAACCCTGGCACCGACCACTGTCACCATGGTGAGCCAGCTTCCCACCCCAGGGCCACCGCTGGGAGAGCTCAGGGTGGACACTCAGCTGTCCAGGTCACCTTTGCTCCACCCCATCAGCCACAGTAAGGCGAGCAGCGTGCGGTAGTTTTCTACCAGCCCCTGCGTGTGCTTCCCACCCTGCCTCACCTTACACGGCACAGAGGCCACAGAGACCCCTGAGAGAGGCTCAGCACCCGGGGTGGCAGACGGAGGCACACGTGTGCAAATCTAAGCACAGAGACCCACTCTTCATGCTCCAAGTCAGGCCGTGGCACCTTCCTGTGCACTACATTTCCACAACACATTGCTCCCATGTGAAGATTGCTCTATTTTTTTTTTTTTTGCTCTGATTATTTGTGAAATACACGCTTACTGTTAAAAAGACACAAAGGCAAGAATAATACTGAAAACATCATAGTCTCTGCTCTTTGAATGCCTCGGGGAGCATCTTCCTGTGCCTGCACCCCACCTTCTCTAGCTCCAGGAGCTGATCAGGACGGCACAGTCCACTCCGCATCTCTGCCACCTTCCCCACTGTGCCTGCTCTGCCACTCCTCATGCACAAGGCCACTGCATTCTGCAGACACCCGCGGATGTCTGGCCAGGTCAGAGGACTCAGTCTTTACAGGAGGCTCTGCGCACAGGGCCTACTCACCCCTTCAGTAGTTCCAGAAAGTTAAACTCCATTCTCTAGTGCATTCCACCCTGTGTTCCATGTTCCCCTTGCTCCCGGGGAGATCACACAGCTCCCACAGTGGCCTGGGACCCCTCAGCACAGCTGAGCAGGGGATCTTGCTTGTGTGAACATCTTGCCCACGTACATGTACTGAGTGACCTGTGTCCTCTGCCCTGCTCCCGGGGAGGTCTCCCCTCCTGACCAGACTGTGCAGGGGCTCTTTCCTACATGGAGGGCAGACCCGTGCGCCATGTGACTGTACGATGCTGAGCTTTGTTTCACTGTCACATCAGTCTTTCCCTCAGCTCTTGGCTTTCTAGGAGCCCAGGGTGCAGTCCTCAGTGTGGTCATGAAAAAGTGAGGTCTCCACCCAGACGCTACCGTTATTTTAGTGCATCATTTTCTCTGTAGTCTTTGACTCAGCCTAGAATTAACTTTTGCATGAGGTCTGAGAAACATCTAGATGGATGTCCCTCTGGTCACATCTGGATATTTACTTCTCTCCTGGGCTTTGCCATCTCAACCTGCAGCTCATAATGCATTTTGGTTTTTTGAGACAGTCTCATTGTATAGTTCAGGCTGGCCTTACCTCATGGCAACCCTCCTGCCTCAGCCTCCTGAGTGCTGAGATTTCAGGCATGTACCACCAGGCCTGGCTGGCCTCAAATTTCAAGTAAACAATATTGTTGTTAACTAGTCACTGTGCTGCACACCAGGCAGGCCCCAGCACCTAACCACTCTAAAGGAAAGCTGACTGACAGACACATCTGCATTTCCATACCACCCCAGCTGTTGGCCACCATCTTGTTTCTGCTTCCAAGAATGAGTGTTTTAGATTCTATGCACAAGTGAGATCACGCACAATTTTCCTTTTGTGTCTAGCTGATTTCCCTCAGCATAGTGCTCTCCAGGTTCATCTGTGTTGAACACTGGGATTTCCCTCCCCTGAGAAATTTCCCATCAGGATCTATGTGGTGCGTTTTCTATCTACCAACAGACCCTTAGATGGAGCCTGCGCCTGGCTGCGGGAGGGACACTGTGGTGTGCCTGAGGGTGGGGGACAGCTTCTCAGTGCTGAAGGAACATCTTCCAGCTGTGCTGTGGACCTAGCAGTGGATGTGAGTCCATGGTGGTGCTGTCTTTTTTTGTGTGTGGTAGTGGGGCTCGAACTTAGGACCTTGTGCTTGTGAGGCAGGTGGTGGCACCACTGAGTTAAATCCCAGCCCATGGTGGCACTGTTTTTAAGTGTTGTGTGTGTCTGCTGCTTTCTGTAGAGGAGGTGCGGGGCTCCATTCTCCTTGGCAGTGCCCCTCCGTCACCGTGTTACCTTGCTTTGGATAGTGGCAATCCTGATGTCCTAGCAGGTTCGAGGTGGGTTCCATCATGGTTTGATTTGCACTTCCCTAAGGACTGTTGTCTTTTACATTTTAAATAACTTAAACACCATCTTTTTCATCTTATCTTGTATGTGTGAGCACACACACGCATGTACACAGACAAGCCGGGCATCTACAAGTGTGTGCTGCTGACACCACGTCAGTCTGCCAGGTCTGCCCCAGTGATGTGGGGCCACCAGGGAAGCAGCTGCACAGGCTGTGTTCACCCAGCAGGATGTCTGTAGCTTCGCAGACTCCCATGAGTAGAGAGGGTCTGAGAACCAGCGACAGCAGGCAGTGGCTCTCCCTGGCCAGCCTCTCAGGTCACATTTAGGGGCTGGGTGACCCAGGCTGGGCCCAAGCAGCACTACCCAGGTGGTCCCTGCACTGGGCACCTGGTCAGTGTCCTTTCCCAGACAGGGAGGGTGCGCTCACCTCTGCTCAGGAAGAACATGCAGGAGCCACACACATGCGTCCCAGAGGCCCTGACAGTGAGCCCCTGTCTCCCACCTATCCCCATGGGGCCCTGCTGAGTCCCCAAGGCTATTTGCTTCTCCTGACACTCCCTGGGAAAGGGGATCCTGGGAGGAGAGCTGGGCCACCAGCTTCCTGGAACTTGAGGAAGAGCATGTGGATAAGGATGCAGCAGCCACCATGGGCCTGGCTGTTGCAGGCATCCCCAAAGGCCAGTGCTGGGCTGTGGCACCCCTAGGAGCTGTGTCGAGCATGTCTCTCTCTAGGGTGTAGCCTGGCTGGGTCTCAGCAGTCCAGTGCCATAGCAGAAGTGCCAAAGGGAATGTTTCCCTGGCAGACCAGAGTAGCCTGCCAGCTCCCACATAAAGCAGCCTGTTCGTGGCACATGCCCAGGAGTGTCTTTGAGAGCCACCATGTTGGCCCCAGGTGACCCCACAGAGACAGAGCACTCAGACTAGAGAGTATCAGGAACCCCACCAGAAGATGCTGGTCCCTATACTCTGGCCGCCTGGGCATCTTTGAGGCCACCCAGCAGGAGCCAGAACCTCCCAGAGGCTGGAGGATTGTGTGGTGTGCAGAGGGAAGGTGGCGGGGCCTGCGGTGCCACCTGGACCCAGGTCTGGGCCACTTCCTCCCATGGATCCTGGAGGCTGCCCAGCCCGGCACAGAAGGGTCTGCTAGGGCAGGACTCAGACCTGGCCACCAGGGGGCCTTGTGGGGGTGGACACCCACACACCCAACCTCAGGACTATGCACGGTGCAGCTGTGCTCAAGGCCTGCCCCTTTCCCACTGCTCCTGGTTCATGTTTGGCTGTGTAGCTCCCTCACACACATGCATGCACACAATGCAGAGGCCACACAAGAGGTCAGAACAGCCACACAGCTCATCCTGCTGTAGGTCTCCAGCCGTTTATTGTTACAAGGACTCAACACGTCACCTGCTGACACTGGGTGTCACCTGGTAACACTGGGCGGCCAGTGGTATCATGAAGGGTGTCACAGACTTGCTCAGGGCTCTGACCAGTGACCTGTTGGCCCCGCCTCCAGCCTGCACGGCTCTGGCCCTCCACGTCCAAGAGCAATTTCAGAGAACACTGCCTCACACCAGGGACTGACAAATGGCTGAAGACCTGGTCCGCCCCACTGTGGACACCGCTGGGGTAAGGCCGCTCCAACCCGATGAGAAAAGCAAAGCACTTTGGGCTGCTAGATGGTCAGACTGCTGCTCCCACGCCATAGCAGCTTAGCCATCCCTGCCTCCTCCCCGGGGGCCTGCAGCAGCTGGGCCTAGCAGGGAGGGTGGCCTGGCTCTAATGGCCTTAGTGAGCCATAAGGAACACCAGGATCCCAGCAGGCCCCAGGCCTTGCCAACGCTGGGTGGAGGACAGAGCGTCTCTTGGAATGGCAGGGGGACAGGGAGAGTGCATGTGTGCGTGTCTGGAAAGCCCTTGACTGCCACACCCCTCACCCCTGCAGCTGGCCAGGTGTCCCTGGCTTGCAGCCTTAGGTCTCACCAGTCCTGAGCTGAAGTTTCACCAGCCAGCCCCACCCTGTGGCTGGCTTGCAGCCCTCATCTGTGTCACCCTGTCTGCGTGGGATGGGGTAGAAGGGGCTGGCGGTTCCCTAGAAGTGGGGTCCCTGGTGCAGACTCTGCAGAGCACCACACTTCCCTGGGTATTGGGGATTGAGCCCCACCTCAGACAAAAGTGCGACTAACAGAAGAGCCTGTGGCCGTGCTGGGCGCCACCCTCTGCAAATCACCTGAGGACCCTCCACCAGGCTCCAGAGTGGCACAGGAGCCAGGCCGGGCACAGAGCCCCTGCCGAGTGGAAGGTATCATGCATAAGCTCAAAGGCCCGCCAGAGCCTGAGCGGGACCCTCACAGTCCTTGAGACTTCTGGAGGCTGAGGGCTGGGCCTCCCTTTCTGACGTCGGAAGCTGGAAGGCGCAGGAGAGGAAGGCACAGGCTCACATGAGGGCTCCAGCGGGATGCTGCTAAGGGCCATCTCCTCTGTGGGCCTCAGGTGGGACAGGGTGCTGGGGAAGGTGTGGGCAGCCAGAGGTGCCCCCGAGGTCCCTGAAATACATGGCTTTTGGGGACACGGCTCACAGCTGACCTGAGGACCTCATACAAAGTTAAAAGCCAGGGTAGCAGGCGAGGCCAGGCCTCAGGGGTCAGGGCCCCACAAACCCTGCCCAGCACACAGCTGCTGTCCCTGTCCTGCCCTGAGCCTCTGCAGGCTAAGGGGGATTAAATATCGTCTGCTTTGAGTTCTGGCAGTCTGTCCTTGACCTTGGTCCCTGCAGCTGTGGGGCAGTTACCGCCACCGGGGTCTGGCTGCTGCGAGGACCAGGGTAAGGAGAGGCAGCAGGAGGAAGGTGTGGGGACTGGGGCAGCTGGCAGCTGAGGTCTTCTGTCCTTCACGCTCTGAGAGGCCAGGGAGGGTGTGGGTCAAAGGTGTCCGGGAGCTGGAGCTCTTCTTGCTGACCCTCCGGCCGCAGGTGTCGTCCAGGCAGCCGCCACCACTGCCTGAGCCGCTGCCATCATCGCCTGGGGAGAAGAGGGGGGGTCCAGCAGCTTACTCCAGGGTGGACAAGTGACACGGGGCCTTGAGGTCCTTTACACACGCTGTCCTCACCATGGCAGGCCAAGCAGGCTGGAACCCAGGCTCAGCCCTGGGTCCCCTGGGCCATGGCTTGGGGACACTGCCCAGCGGCAGCAGCCTCTCTAAGGCACAGGGCCCCGCCTCTCAGTACCTCCAAGGCACCGTCCAGCCCTGGCCCTCGCTGCTTGCTGCTCACTCACTTGCATCCTGGAAGTCCACATCGTTGCCTCCGTAGGCTCCGCGGAGCCGGTTGGTCATGATCTTCAGCTGCATGATCTGCTGCCGAATGGTCATGTCGGGCTTGGTGATGTCCACCTCCACCTCGGGGTTGTTGATCTGGTTGGCTAGCCCATCACCCATCACCTCGGGCAGGTACCTGGGGGCGGGGCGGGCAGCGCCTGGTCACTGTGCTGGCCCTGGCAGCCCCCTCCTGGGCAGGGCCCTGTGGGAGTCCACCAGGTGAGGGCATGGCCTCTGTCCCTGCTCCCTCGTCCTGCTGCATGTCACATTAGGATGCAGGCAGGCACCTACCTGCCCTTGGCCATCCCGTTCCAGCAGCGGTCATCACTGGCGGAACTCATGGCCATCTTCTCGCTGCACAGTGTCCCGGGGAGGCTGATCCAGAAGTCCTGCACGTCTCGGAGCTGGGTCTTGGCCTCTGAGACCTGTGGGCACGTTCAGCACCCTGGGTGGTCTGGCCAACCTGCCCCCCAACCCCATGGGCATGGCGTGGCCAGCAGGGTGGTGGCAGGCACCCACCAGTATCTCCAGGGCACCTGTGGAGGGCTTCTCCTGCAGCACCAGCTTTCCCTGGCGTGGCTTCTCCTCTGGCCCTGAGCCCTGGAGATTGACTTTGGGGTTCCTGCAGCTCTGGATGACCTGGAGAAATACCGCAGGGCTCCTAGAGGGGCAGCAGGGGCCCCTGGGACCAGATGACGTGGTGTTGGGGCAGCCCCTCCATGCCCACCATAGCCTCCCACCACACCTTAGCTGTGAGCAAGTCCCTGTTGTCCTGAAGGGCATTGATGGCCTCTGCCAGCCACACATGTATGCTGCTGATGATGTTCTCTGCGCCCGATGGGCCCCAGAACTTGTCCGTGATAAGCACCATGGAGTCTGCCGTGGGAATTAACACACACACACATACACACGTGTGTCACACACACTTGGGCAGCACCATCAAAGGTGCAGCCAGTAGAGGACCCCAGGGGCGCCCTCAGGCCAGCCCAGCTCACTCTGCCTGCACTGTTGTGGGCACACTGTGGTCTTGCCGGCCCAGCTCATGCCCACACACAGAAAGACAGCTCATGTGGGTGCTGACATGTATGCATGCTTCCCTCTGTGAGTCTGTTCATATATATGCTAGCCCCTGTGAGCTGCTGTGTCTGCATGTTGGCTTGCCTATGCCAGCCCATGCACACACTAGTGTGTGTCTGCATGTGTGTAATAGAGCACATTTTGTACACATACATGAAGCTTACACGTTAAATTTTCCCATTGGCTTCTATCACATCATCATTAGCACACAAATACCAGCATGCATGTGTTGTCCTGCAAGCATGCTGACCCACACTTGACGGACACATACCTGTTACTGGACACATGCTGACATATATGCCCACTGACCATGGCAAAAAGTGTGTGTTAATACATGTGTATTGGCATGCATGTATGCCAGCTGCATATGCAGGTACACCCATGTCAGTGTGAAGGTATGCTGGCCACTGCACAGCAGAGGTGAGGGCGAGCTAGTGTATGAACCAGCGCCCCCTGCTGGCATGTACACATTAGTGCACACAGGTGCTGGTGGACCATGTCACGTGTTACCATGTGTACATGTTGGGGCTCTGGCTACTTGGGCAGGACAAAGAACTAGAATCCTACAGGGCTCCCCAGGGCATGCACCCCAACCAAGTCAGATGTGGCTGTGACCCTGGTGGCCCGGCTCAGGACCCATGAGGCCTGAGCCAGTGGCCACTGTTTCCTAGGACCCCAGATCTGCTTCCCAGGGACAGGGTCTGGGCTCACCCAGGAGGTTTCTCCATTCGGCGTCCAGGTCAGCCTGGTTGGCAAGGCAGCCCTTGAGCACGTTCCGGCAGTAATCGGGGCAGGGCCGGGCACCAGGAACACCCAGGCAGCGGGCACAGTACACCAGCCTCATGACGGCGCGCGAGCACTCCGCGCTCAGGGGCACCTGGGGAGTGATGGCAGCCTGAGCCCACCTGGCAGCCACTGTGGGGCTTGGGATGGCTGACTCCCAGTGGGGCCTTCCCTCCTGGCCTTCTCAGGCCCTGCTGACCCTGGGCACTCATTCTATGCATCACAAGGGTCTCAGCCACCACTCACTAGGAAGTGGGAATAGCACACCACACAGACATGGAGACTGAGGCCCAGGGACTGGAGGGGTGCCTTACTAAGGACACTGCTGCCCTCATTCAGGGACGCCCTGCAAGGCCTCAGGAACCTTAACTGCTCCCAGTCTGAGCACATCTTCCATTCTCCCGTCTCCTGTCTGCAGTGTGCCCACAGCCAGGCTCAGTGTCCAGCCCAGCTCCCCTTCCCTGGCCTTTCCCATCCACACCTGGGCCACCTTCCGCACCACGTCGCCAGCCACACCCAGGCCCTGTATGAAGGCTCGAGCGGCCACAAAGGCCCGGGGGGCCCGCAGGCGCAGCTCCCGTGGGGCATCCCCAAAGGGCCGCAGTGTCTCAGCCTGCTTGCCCAGGCAGTCTAGGTAGTCATCAGGCAGCGGCAGCTGGGGGTGCAGCTGCCGGAAGAGGTGCTCCAGCAACCGTGCCCAGAACTCCGCTAGCGTCTCCTCCAGGTGCAGGTTGGCGCCATGGTAGTAGAGGCGCAGCTCAGTGTACAGGTCCCCAAAGGCCTGGGCATTCTGTGTGTACAGCTCCCCAAAGGCACCAGGGAAGGTGTCCTGCAGCACTCGCTCCGAGTTGTTCAGCAGCTGTTGGAAGTGGTCTGAGCACAGAGGGAGCAGTGTGAGATTTTGGGGGACCCCACTTCTCTACCTCCTCCTGAATGCTGGGGTGGGCCAACCAGGATGCAGGGGCTGGGTGGGGAGACCTGCACTCTGTAGAAGTCTGCTTGTGTGGTTGGCAGAGCCAAAGCAGAGGCCAGAGGAGGTCCCGCAGGCCTCCCTAAGACCTCAGCCTTCTGGTGGGGATGCAGAGACCCAGGTGAGGGTTCCCTCTCAGGTCACAGGGCCCTGTGGCCCTAGGCCTCCAACAGGGGCTCCAGGAGCCCATGCTTGCTTGCTTCCTTCCTTCCCTTCTTTCTCTTTTACTTTTGGGAGGTATGTTTTTGAGATAGGGTCTTGTTACGTAGTCCAGGGTGGCCTTGAACTCACTATGTAGCTCAGGCTTGCTGTGAAGTCATGGTGATTTCCTGCCTCAGCCTCCTGAGCACTGGCAGGGGTCCCAGGATTACAGTTGTGCACTACCATGCCTGGCTTCCAAGAGCCATTTCTAAGCTGGGCTGGACTCAGTGACCTGGACACCTTGGGGTCTCTGCTTTCTCTAGTCTCCCTGCTCCAGGGACCCCTAGGGTCCACGGTGCCCACTCCACTCACCGTCCACGCCCCGCAGCTGGGTGGCCAGCATGGTCTGCAGGGCGCGGCTGCTGTCACGGAGTGAACTCTCCAGCTCCGCTTGGCTGCGGTTGGCCAGGTTCTCCTCCATCTCACTGGTGCAGCAGGTGTAGCCCTGGGGGCAGATGCGCAGGTGTTCACCTGTGGGGAGGGCAGTGTGAGAGTGGACAGGGCCAGGACAGGGGAGGCAGAGCCGGGCGGGGGTGTTGCACAGCTCGATAGCCCCACCAGAGTGGGATGGGAGATGGAACCCAGCGTCCACACCAAGTCCTGGGGACACAGTCAGGGTGCATGCTCGGGTGCCAACCACAGGCCCAGTTGGGCATCAGCATCAGGGAGCACCTTGGGAACCAGGGACAGGGTTTTGGGGCCACACAGGTCCCTGCCGCCCTGGTACCAGAGGACTGAATACCTGGGATGGGTGCATGGTGCTGGCGTGTCTAATCTTATTCTGGTGAGCTGCAGACATGAGAGCTTCCCCCGTTTCCTGGTGGACCCAGCTGCTCACACCCCACACCCACTGTCCTCTGTCCAGCCCCTCCTCACAGGCCGTGCTTCTGCCCGGCCCAGACGCCCCCAGCTCCCCAAGCAGAGGAGACAAGGCCTGCCTGACACCAGGGGTGGGCACAGGGGCCCCAGGAACTCCCCAGAGTGAGCACTGCCTGGGCCGCAGCTAGGATTGCTGCCCTTCCACGGCAGCAGACTTCAGCTCTGGCAGGTAAGGGAAAAGGTACCAGGGATCTGAGAGTGGGTGGACCTGGACATGTAACTGTTCTCAGCACCAGGGCAGGCAGAGCCAAGCAGCATGGGCTGGGCAGGGTGGTGCTACAGCCTCAGTGCCCCTGATCTGACATGGAGGACCCTTGCTCGGGCACAGGGACCGAGGGCCCCTGTTCTGGGGGTAGGACAGCCAGGGTCAACATGGGACAGGAGGGGATAGCCTCAGCTTTCTGGTCTCGAGCTGGGATCTCACCCAGGCACCCATGGGCCAAGGGCAGCATCCTGACCCCTGGGAAGCCCACCCTTAGTAACCCCCCCCGTTGATACCCTTCCTCCTGCCCGGTGCCTGCCCTCCCCACGTGTTCCCTGCTGAGACAGGGCTGGCAGCCCAAGGCCTGCTGGGGGTGAGGAATGGGCCTGCTTCCTATGGCCACCCAGGGCCGGGGGACATCCTGGAGCCTAGTAAGAAGGGGTACCTGTCTGACCCTTTGCTCTCAGATGCTGCAGGTGGGGTGGACTGGGACAGAATCCTCAGGGAACAGGAGCCACCTGCCCAAAAGTGGGACCCAATGGCAGTGTATAATGGGATGAGAAGGCACTGGAGGGGGCTCATGCCCAGGGTGGGGATCTGGGGATAGCAGAGGAGGTGGGAAGCCTGGGGCTCCAGTCAAATCGGCTATGCGCTGCAAAGGCAAGAGGTGACCGGTGGGAGACACACTCTGCCCCGCTGCTGCTTGCGGACCGGAGAAAGGGGAGCAACTGCAGGCACTGGGAAGGGGAATGAATGGGTGCACCCCAGGGCCTCTCAGGTTCCCTCTGGGCCGGGCTCCTCCTCCAGCCTCCCTGCAGCACCCACCCACCCTGTGTGGCCACCTCGCCCAGCCAGCCCGGTGACCTGTGCCATTCCGGTTGCCTCAGCACAGCCCCCGTCCCTCCCTCCCTTCTCGGACATACACGGGAGTGAAGACACGGAGCCAGAGCCTGGGCGCCGGCCTGAGGACCCGGGCAGGCTGGG